GACCGACCGAAAAATACGAAATATCGGGTCGCGGTTGTGTTTTTTTTTTGTTTTTTTGTTTTTTTTTAATGGGCCCAAATATTGAAAACTAACCATTTGAAGCAGTAAAAAAGTGTTTCCTCTAAAATTTACGATCCCTGGACCGTTGTTTGATCCCCAGGGATCCCCGGGGGATCATGAGTGGCGACTTTGAACCTCGGGTTGATCTGTATTTTTCTGGCATGTTCCGAATACTATGAAGTCTGAAGAGCAAACACGTCTTTTGCATTTCAGGCCATTTCTTGACATTTGCTATTCGACGGATAGTTGGTGCACAAGAAAAATATCGCCGCACCAAGTATTTTCTCAATTGAATAAAAAAAATATTTTGAATCAAAAACAATACGTTTGTTGTAGTAAATATAATTTTTAATACATGATGAAATGCAACAAAATTTATTGAATTCACAAAACGTGACATTTTATATTAAAACTCTCATCCGCTTATATCGCAAACAAAACGACGGCTTTTGCACGTTTCTTTAGCGCTGTCAGTATTCTCGCTTCCGGGTTTGTCATCGTGTGTACGTACATGTGTACAGCGAACACGTTTGCTGCGTGCATGACAGCAAAAGCTGGATCAACTATTATCTTTCGATTTTCCGATTTGAGGGCAACATAAGTTTTTTTTTGGCCTAACTACTGATCTGTATGATTCAATGCTCATCTAGACCCCCCGAAACGCTATTTCTTGCATTTTTAGGGGCAAATTTTGCAGACACAAAGGGTTTCAGCTTGATTTTGGAGGGGTGACCAGGGGGCGACCGTTCCCTATGCTCTTCTGTGCCGCCGCCACTGACACTGGAGATTACCAACAACATAGCTAGCGGCCTCAGTACTCAGTAAATTTACCGACAAATGATCAGCATGTTTTACGGAATAAAGAGCGCTTTCTTAGAGCAAATTAACTACAAAATTGTTTAAATTAAACCACACTCATTAATGGCAAACGTGTAGGAACATTTCATTTTGTTTAATAACACTGAGTATAACATAATTCAACACTCTTGAATAAAAGTGCAAATATCCATAATGACCATCCCGTGATTTTCTACAAAGTAGCGATCACATACCTGTGCAATTAATATTAGTTGACCACGGGTAAAATAAAACTGGGTCAACAAATAACCCACGTGTCAAAATATATTGCATGGTGTGTTTCGAATACGACAGAATATACTGCCTCTAAACCAATAATGCACACAGTACACATACTGATGATCCTATGACATAATGCTTACCTGCAGAGTCGTTCGCACGATATATACATATTTGGAGGACTATTTTATATAGCGCGACTAGCTATGAAAGTAAATGTCACAAAATGGTGGACTTGATGTTGTACTCAGACAAAATATAATACAACACTAAAATGGTCTAGTGTTATTAAGATCACATTTTTGTCGAATTTGTAAAACACATTTCCAAAAAAATAGTTACATTATGTTGTAACATTGT